CAAGTTCCCCAAAACCCCAAAACCCCAAAACCCCAAAACCCCTTACTGCAGAATTAATTGTATGCATGAATATGTAGAGAATATTTATATGCAGAAATGGTTTGGAAATTAAAGGAAGATAACTGCTCACTTGGCCTTTTGCTTGGAGGCGAGGGGTCCGAGGAACTTGTCCTTCTCCTCGACGGTTTGGAACTTACCGTGACCGATCTTTGATGAGGTATCGATGAACTTGATCTCCATCTTCTCGAGAGCGGCGTTGGTGGTTTGTGGGAAGATTGACTTTCTGAGAACGATTGGTCTCTTTCTGGTTCCGACGACACAACCCTTGAGCATAACGAAGTCGTTGTTGACGACACCGTATTGTGGGAAACCTCCGAGTGGGGTAATGTTCTTCTCAATAGCATCAGCCTCAGTGGTGGCGTTGTTCTTAACACCTCTGTTGGCACCAGCACCTACTCTGTAGATCTTTTTGTTTTGCTCAGTTCTGTGATGGTAACCGAGTTGACCTCTTCTGGCAACAGTCCACTTAACGGCAGCTGGATGCCAAGCTCCGATACAACCTACCTTTCTGAGACCTCTGTGAGTCTTTCTTGGCATTCTAGTAACACCGAATCTCTTGATAACACCTTCAGTACCTTTACCTCTGGTTACTCCAATAGTATCAATCATTTCGTTGTCGTTGAAGATTTCTCCAACTGAGACTTCGCTCTCGAATTTGCCGAAAGCCCAGTCAACTTTTTGGGCGACAGTACCTCCGTTAACTTGGATTTCGATGAGGTGAGCCTTTCTTTGTCTGAAGTTGAGCTTGCTGAGTTGGGTGGAAGTAAGAACTCTGACGACTGTGCAGTATTTCTTGACTCTCTCAAGATCTCTCTTGATTGATTTCTTGCTCTTCTCATCCTCTTGCCATCTTTGGGCATACTTGGAGAAAGCCTTCTTCTTTGAGTTGACCCAGTTCTTGTAGAATCTTCTCTTGACCTCCTCTGGGATGTGTTGGGCCCAGACGGTAGCGAGAGCTCTCAATCCTCTTGGGGTTTCGACGTAACCGACGAGACCAACAATTTTCATTGGTGGGGTTTCGATGATGGTAACTGGCTCGACGATATCTCTCTTGATGATCTTCTTACCTTCTCTCTTCTCGTGATGTCTGGCGACGTGAGTCATACCAGCCTTATATCCGACGAAGGCAGTAAGGTGGATTGGAGCCTTGGCGTCGTCTCTTGGGAATGATCGGATTCTGCCTCTGTGGTGTCTTGTTCTTCTTCTTGGCAAGAAGGCGAGAGAGCCTGATCTTGGGCATTCGTACTTTCTGTGAGACATCTTGGATATGTTCCTATTTAATAATAATTAATTACTAACCTTTCATAGTTAAATAATCATTTCCAGCTTCATTAATATCAACTCATACATAATTCTATCATAAGTTTAAGATATTAAGTAATATATTTAAGATTTATGAGATTGATATCAAGCTAAAATCAAAGCCAATGATTCACAGAATATAGTATTAATAGAAAGTTAAGAAAGGTTTGTAAGCAAACAACTGGGCCTAAAAACTATTTTGAATAAGTTTAAAGGTTCGGAGTATTACTAATCAATATGGTCCTACATTAACTGCTAGAATCTATTATTAGACTCTGTCAGCGTTTCTCGGACACTTATTTTATATTCATTAATCAATCTCTTCATTTATGAAGTCATGTTCTCATTGATATTTGAGATACCAATCATCAATTAACAAAGTTAACTGTAGGGGCATCTCCAAATATGATGATTTTATTCGCATGCATATTTAAAGCCTTATAAATAAATAATTATAATATATACTGTCAATATTAAATTTAAATACCCAGGCTAGGGGTTTTGGGGTTTTGGGG